TTTTTCTTATTTGATCATGTAAGAATATCATGAGTTAATTTAAGTAACAGTTGTAAATGAAAAAATCAACATACTTTAATCTTCTATAGTTTTATTTAATCTGTTCATAGCTTTAAAAAATTATATAATTGTATATTTTTAACTTATAAACATAAAAATCCAATCAATTTTTATGTACTCGGTTTTAATGTGAACCAAAAAATATAATATTAAACGATCAATATAAGAGTGAATAAATAATCTTCTATTATATCCTCATGATATTCTCAATTTCTTGAAAAATTTCGCCTTTATACATTTGAAATGTATGTGCATTCGAACGTATTTTCGTATGCACATAAATTTATACACACAATATATTTAACAATAAAAAGGGATCCAAGATTAAGTTTATCCTATAATCTGTTAAAACTTATCCATTTTAGGGCAACGGATGTACGGAATGTTATGTTCTTTTGTCTATTAAATTTGTATATTACTATTATTGAATTGATGTATACATGTATCTAGGTATACCTTTCTCTCTCTTTCTATAAGTACATAATATAATATATTATTATAATAAAGTTACCACACATCCATACCCCAATAATAACGTTAATTAATCACTCACCGACCCGATGCGCAACAGCGGAGTTACATCTGCAACGTCGCTACGATGATTCTGAAACAAAAAAATACATAATCCAAATTAAAACACAATTATAAATTTTATGAAAAGACCTCTTAGAAACATTTTTATAAAATTTCAAATTTTAAAGCAATCCTTTTTTTAATTAAATAGTATTTTTATAAATTATTAGTATTTTTAAAGTAAAAGTATTTAAGAATAAATTGAGCAAAAAAAGATATCGATTTTTTACATAAGTAAAAAATAATACTTACCGCAAGGTTGCTCCACCGGTGCCCGATGCCTCTCCCGGTCCTCCTCCTCCTCTCAGATTTCGGTTGACATCCTCTCGCACTGGTCACTCGCGTAAAACACTCGCGAATAGTATACACAATCGCGCGCGGACTATAATATTTTCAAAGTCTTTCGCGCGACACTGTCGTTTTCCGGATTTACAAAACTCACGATAGGATTTCCATTTCGGTCGGTGGAATCAACACCACACGTCGACGAGTACTGCGAAACACACGGTTGTTGCCGAACAAGGGTTAAGCCCCACACGATAGAAGACGTAATCGATCGTATCGAGTTCATCACCTCTGATTTAAGCAAAATCACGTTTAAAATTGACTCAGCCATACGCCCTAACTATCATTTCGTCGTGGACACAAAAGGTGCTGTACCTCGTGCGATAACACTAGGCTAGTAGACGTGACGAGCGCCTCTTGATTTATATCAAGATGATTAATTGATAACAAGAGATAAAAGTTGGTACCGATTGCCGATTCTAACAATCTAGACAGTATCGGAAATAGGATCCAACCCCTCGTCCCGAGCAGACCATAAAGATCAACAGCTAGGCTCTGACCAAGTCAGATTAAAGCGATTCGAACGGGTATAAAGCAGAGAAATGAGCGTCCTGACAGAGTTATACAACTTCAGCCTTTTTGGGCGACCCAGAGATGAACCCGAGAGACAAACGATCGCTTCTACCGCTAAGGGCCGAACCGTTTGACGACAGACGGAGCGTGTCCTCTATCAGTCGAAACCGCGCGAACACAGCACCCTGTGCGAAGTGCGTGACATGTACGCGGCCGACATCACCTCGTGCTAGGGCACTCGGCGTGAGAGTTGCAATGACCACCAATGGTGGCCACACGTGCAGCAACGTCTCAAAGAGAGTTCCGTTTTCCTGTCGAAACATTGTAGATGTGATTCCATCGACCGTCGAAACAGATCTCCATCGAATGGGTATTGTGAAAAGTCCAATTAGTCCGATAATAATTTCAACGGCACTCCCGAACGGCACGCGCGACGCGACGAACCGGCTGCGGTTCGTTTATTTTCAATTTAAATCGGCGACGAGGGTACGTTGGCTTCCCCGTCGTTGGATTTTTACACGAGAAGAGAACGACTTTACTCAAGCATCTAAAAATTTATCTAGGTTATTATATATCATTCAGATAGATCTGAAAATTTCGAGATACTTTAGGGAAATCGTTTTACTCGTGTACATCCTCGGGGTACTGAGCCCTCTCACCACGTCAAGGTCGTACCCATGAGAGGGAAGATATTATATGAAATTCTGAAAAATGTATTATATGTATTTATTATCTATTATTATATGATCAACAATTAAAAATGAATATTAAATATACATAAATTGTCACGAAATAAATTAAGAGCTGATAAAAGGATTGAATCTCTTATTACGATATCTATTAGATATGATTAGGCTCTATGAAATGAAAAAATGATAAAAACGAGAAATATTCCTTTCATTACCGACAAATAGTTTCATAGTTACGCTCAAGTTTTTATACGGATTATATTAAAAAAGATGCGAGAAAACGAAAAATTAATAAAATTATTAATTACACGAACTGTGTGTGCATTAATTTTGAATATAGAAATCGTATGAATAGAATTGCGCGCGTTATTTGCATGAAAATATTAATTGTTTTTTACAACTTATGTGATATCGTTCGAAGTACTCTATAATCGAGAAGATTAACTCAAGGAAGAGAAAAATGTTACGTTAAACAAAATTATAGTCCATAATTATCGCGAAATAGTAATAAATTTTGCTTTCTATCGTGTTTTGATTCCAACTGAATGAACCGTACGAAATATCTGTTCCATGATACACGATTATGTCATCTCGATCCCTTTATGGATAGTTGATCACGCGAGCTAACAATCGTATACTGTGAATATTCACAAAGTACAATATTTCGTATAATTTAATTCGTCGTGTTTATGTATACCTATAAGTCTCGGCAATTAAATAACTGCGCGATGACTACACGCGCGTTACAATGACACCCGCCTGTCCTTCCGCCTCAAACTACAAGGTCGCGTGCCGACCAACTGTCGAAATATTAACGGATATTATAAAATAAGTAAAACAATCTATTCTTTACTTTATTTTTAATATTCTCTGAATACGCTTTGTTGTACGATGTCACTCAACATTATTTTAAGATTCAAGATGCTATGAGTATTAAAACTGTTGGATTGTTAGTCAATACGAATTATTTAAAATTATAAAATAAATGTAAAATATGTTCTTCGGTGTATAATTACAATATCATATTAAACGATTCGTTAAAATTAAACTACTAATAGAAATTATCTCATTAATTCTGCGATAAAATACTAATTCGATTGTGTTTCAAATAATTTAAAGTCAAATTGTTATTATACTAATATACAATTTGGTCCTATTTAAAAAATTAAACAAAATAGAATAATTGAAAGGTCAATAGCCAGTTATGTAACAAAGAACGTTTAATTCTTTAAAGAATTAAACTTTTAAATAAATTTTTAAAACTTATTTTATATTTTATATTAATTTTAAATACGTCGTATCAGTCAGCAGTCGATATAGTATTTAAAATAACGTTATTTAAAATATATATTTTAAATATATATATATATATATATATGTATTTAATATGTATTTAAATTATATAAAAAACAAAATGAAACAGTTATTTAATATTTCTTTTTATTTTAAAAAACTTTTTCTAATTTATTACTTATTTAATATTTTAAGTACGTTTTTGGAACGTAAAATACATCGTTTAATATTATCTTTAATAGTGTTATTACAAAAATATGTTTCAGAAAGAAATATTAAATAGAGCCGTACACCACAGCTATCTGCTTACACCGAACCGCGGTAATGGAATGACTGCTCGGAGTGCTCGCCGAGCATTGCTCGGTCTATCGGTGAGCCGGGTGAGCGGGGACTGTGCGACTCGTGTTTGCCCTTCCACATCAAAACAATCCCCAAGGCTGCTTTCACTAACCGTCTAATATTAACGCGTCGAAATATCAATTAACGCGCTCGCGTATTACAAAATAATTAAAATAATCTAATTGTCACATTTTTTTACTATATTCTCCGATAATTACAATTATTATACGATTTTTGCTTTATTTCTTACATTTGTTACGCACGGCTCCTTGAATACTTATTCATCTTTAGATATTTCAAATTGTGTTACAATCAGTGATTATTAGTTTGTAATATAACGTTTTATTACACCAAATTCGTATAATGTACGCAATATTTTTAACAAATAAATTGACGCTTGTGCCTTTTTGTTACTTTTGAATTGTTTAATATTGCCAATTATTATGTTTTCTTAACTGCTCGGTAAATGAGGTGAGCAGTGACTGTTCGCTCTTTACCCGTGTAAAGCTGGCCCCCCAAATATTAAAAAAAAGATTTTTTCTTCATGCGTACGTTTGCTCACGAATGCTCAGTTGGAATTTTCGTTTGCGCACCCTTAGTTCAAAAGATATACGAAAATTATGTTTTGGGGGGCCAACTTATTCACACTAGCCCCCCAATATTAAAAAATCGATTTTTTTCTTTATGCATTCGTTTGCTCATCGTTTGCTCACGAATGCTCAGTTGGAATTTTCGTTTGCTCACCCTTAGTTCGAAAGATTTATGTGAGTAAACGACGAGCAAACGAATGCATGAAGAAAAAAATCTTTTTTTTAATTCGATACCGAAACTTAATTTTCTTGTATCTTTTAAACTAAGGGTGAGTAAACGACGATCGATTGATTGTCTGTCTTTGTTTGTCTAATGGATCGATAATTATATGGACATAGGGAAGATTCGAACCAAAAAATCGTGGACATTACCGACACGATCGTGGACATTGCGCGGTTACATATATATATAGTTCAATGTCCACGTTTTGTGGACATCGTAAAATCTTTTTATGAATGGTTGAATATGGAATCTGATAGATCGACACCAGGTAAGAACTAATCATGTTCAATCGGTAAACTGGCTACCTATTTTATCAGTTTAGCGTCCATTGCTTATATATTTATTTGTGTCTATATGCCAATAGTCCGATCCGAACCCGAACTCCAAAAGTCTAAAGAGAGGTTAAAATTGTTTTGAATTGAGACGACTCACGGAAAGATCAGTTGTTCGTATTATTTACGAAGGTACGTAGAATATTGATGACAATTGTATTCGGGTTTTATTTTTAAAAAATTACTTAACATCACGTCTTATAAACAATGTAGTGCTTTAATTGCGATTATTCAATTTTCTGTAATAATTTCTTCAACGTATTAAATATTATTTTTGTATATTGACAGATGAGTCGAAAGGAAGCATTATCTCAATTTATACAACAAATTCATGGACGACCTGTTGTTGTAAAGCTGAACAGCGGTGTTGATTACAGAGGTAGATATTTATTATTAAGTTAACGTATATGTATTAATAAATATTATAACATTAATATGTAGTAATGTTTAGCAAGTTGTCTACATTAAAAATCAAAAATTGCGTTTCAGAGTCAATTGTTTTTATCTATATCGATTGAATGTGTTTTTATTATAATCAGTGAATATTACTGTATTAACGATCATTATTTTGAATCCGATATTCATAGTCATTTCGTATATTTAGGTACAGTTTTAAGATGCCATAAATCATAGTCGATTCTTTTATTTAAAACTGTTTTGAATACAATCTTGAGATGTCATAAATCAATCAAAAACTTATTCATAGTCAATTCTTATTTTAGGTAATATTTTAAGCTGTTATCTCTGATTGGTTTATGACATCTTAAGATTGCACTTAAAACAGTCTTAAATATAAGAATTAATTAGGAGAGCCAGAGAGCTGCATTTATTAACATTTTAATAAGATATTACTTAAGGTTAAATAAAAACAGGTTATGAATATCGGCCTTAATATTTCACAGTTTAATACTATGTATTGTTTGCAGGTGTATTAGCTTGTATAGATGGCTACATGAACATAGCGCTTGAACAAACAGAAGAATATGTTAATGGACAATTAAAGGATAAATATGGAGATGCTTTTATACGGGGGAACAATGTGTTGTATATCAGTACACAGAAACGTAGAAATTAATCGTGTGAAATACAAATAAATAAAAACTAAATGTTTATTTAATATATTTGAAAAAATTCATCTTTACATATAACTCTAAACAACTACGTTTTGGTTTACTTCTAAGTATATGGTAATTCAAAATGAGGCAATTTTTATACTGTATAGTAAACGTATCTATATGATATCTTCCATAAACAGCAAAACTTATATTACTGCAAGATTTTATTTTATTCACATACGGTTTTGTCTGTTTCCTTCGCTGACTCATCATTTGATAATATTGTCTCATTAATAATTGCTTTATTTGTGTTACCGTTAATTTGTGATGGTATACTATCTATCTGGGATATATTCGTTTCATCATGGATTACAAAATTATCGCTTTCGCTTACAGTTTCTACATTCGTGTCATCAAATTTTGTTCTCTTAACTTCTTCCTCACGCTCCTTCTGCCTTTGGAGTCTTCTTTCAATAGCTAATTGCTTGTTCCTCTCGATTTTTTGCTTTAGTTCGTCACTCATTTCATTAGCAGTAGTATTTGTATGTGATACTTGTGAATTTTGTGTACCAGTGGACTGCATTAAAAGCTTGTCAAATGCATCCTCAGTTGAAGTGCTTGGAGCATCAATAGAAGCTCGTGTTTCAGCTTGCTTTTGTTTTTGAATTTGTTCTGTTATCAGCAAATCGAAGTCATCCAAAGGCACGCTTTCTTCCTGCTCATTCTCGTCATCTTTCTCAATATCACGAGTGATTAAATCATCCTCTGAGGTAATCATATCCAATCGATATTTTTTGATAAACACTTGCAAATCTTTTTTTGTCCCTAGTTGCTCAACTCTCGTGAGAAAATCATCAAAATGGTACTTGGGAAATAATCGGTAGGACCAATGTTCCAGTCTCTTCATGATTCTGTCAAGGTCCATTCTTTCGTGTCCCTTGCCGTAGAATTTGAAGCCTTCGAAATACTTTTCGATAATTTGGATACCATTAGGGCCTGTCAGTCTTTCTGTGTTAAGTTTGGGCACAGGGTTTCTTACTACGTGCGACTTAGACTTGGTCTTTGACGGATCGATTCTCCTCGCAGTTCCCATCTCGTTGTCGGAAGTCGCATCCTCTGCTTCCCCATGACTACCACGTTCGTCATCGGATTCTTGGTTCTCATAATGCTCTATAATATCATCGTCACCTTCGTAATCTGGAATATCCGCCATGATGATGTGAAGTATCTATTGATTCAATTTGATCACTGCTTAGACGGGTTTCTGAAAAAATCATCATATCGTAAGGAAAGTCTTATAAAGTACAGTACATTTCTTGAATTAATAGTCAGTATCATATTTTTCCAAGGTTCAACTGATTCTTCATTGTATTTCAATTTCCAATTTTTGAATTGGAAAGAGACTAGAAATAGACATATAAATACAAAGAGACCTCGATTAAGAGTTAACCGTGAATTGTGGAACTAAGCCTAAATAATTGGTCCTTAATGAGTGTGAATGACTTAAATCATACAGGTTAGACTTACGTAGGTATTCGAAGATACAGATCGCCTTAAAAATCGCTGTCGTCGTGCGACTCGCAACTTCCTCTGCCGTCCTCCATAAATTTGTCAAACTGTCCGTCTGACTTTTTCATACGTTCCAAGACCGATACAAGCAACTTCTTATTCAGCCGATCGGTTTGCGTAATTTCTCGCACAACGGTGTCGCACTTCGGTTCGTCTTGTGTCCGTTCACTCTGCAGCTTCCCTAACACGTTACTGTCCCGCTCCATTGGAGTGCCAGGCATCTTTCCTCGTTGTTACAGACGCTGTTTGCAGATTGCCGACTATTGTAATCAAAGATAATCACGCGTGAACGAAATGTAAGATATATGAACGAAATATCAGCAATTCAGCAGGAAATGTCAAAATACTAACCGATGTCAATTGAGAAATAAAGACGACATGTCGATTAATCGATTTATCGACGACCATTTTTATTTTTAAGTCAGGTCGATCAATCGATTGTTACGTATTGCCGTTTCCTTTTATTGAAACACGCTTAATCGACTAAATTAAAAAAAATGTCTTTGCAATTGCAATAAATTAATAACATATTGAATAATTTTGGATTTTGCTGTGAAATTAATTATACAATCCATACCTTGTTTGTAAATAAAAAATTATTATAAATTAATAAAGAAGTACAAAATATTCTATTGCATGTACAATAAATCGCAATTGTTATTATTAAAAAGGTGGTCCCTTGATTTTTTATTGTTGTATATGTACTACATCAGTTTATCCACAAATTAACTATAGAAATAACAAAGTACAAACATACACATATGCATAATTATTTATTGATAATAATATATGTTATTATAAAATTAAGACTTTTCGTAAAATCTGAATAATATTAAAAAGAAAACATCTTTGAAAAATTTTTAGAATGCTCGCGTGCGTGTATGTGTGTGTGTATCATAAACAATTTTCATTCATGATAACAAAAGATAATATCTTCTACTGATCAAAGAATGACAATACTAAATAACGAATATAGTGTTCTGTAACTTGTAATTAGTCTAACAATTCGAAAGTTTCTAATATACATTTCTAACATATTTTGTTTAATCGCCCTTCAACATTTTAGAATAATTTCAGCCAAACTTTGATTAACTTGACTCAGTATCCTGATTATAAATACTGAGTACTGTATAATTTTTGTGTAATTAACAAAGATATATATAATTATAAAATCCTTGATTAAATTATTGGATTTGATTGTCCTTTTGTTGTCGATTAAACCAATAAGTTTTCAATTTTTATCAATCGAGAACATGAATTTTTACTAAGAGACAGTTTATTCAATTTCCGAAACAATATATCTTCAAAATATATATGATTTTATTAATAAGTAGCAATAAAGTGATAGCCATGAGCTAAAAAAAGTGAACCTTGACCGAGGATGAAAATGTGATCATTTCCCGTAAATAAAAGCCACACGCCGCACGTGACCGCGAGTATATTATTCGGATCAGAATTTCAGTGATTACGTGAGGAAAACAGGTGTAGCGAGGCCACGATGTGCCAGGAAACTGATTTATGTCATGATGTTAGATTCAAAACTAATAAAGCAACGATCTGAAACTGGAATGACCCAACTGTCCCCCAACTTATCGAGAGCGCAAATATCTCGAATACGAGTGCGCGTCCAAGAGCGAGCACTTGATGAAATCGGGAATGCGTTCGTCAGTAATTTCAAATCACTAAAATCTCAATTTGTCGTATATATTCATTAAATAAATATGCTTCGTGTTAATTATATTTAATATTATTATACACTTGGTTTTTGATTAATAGATGCAAATGATTAGGACTTTGACCACATTCAGATTAATTTAATCAGTGATTAACTTATATTATCAAGTAATATTTTAAATAATACTTATAAAATAATGTTTCATTAACGTTTTTTATTTAATTGATGAAGAGCATGTAAAAAAGTTAAACATTTTACTTCAAGCGACTCTGTCTCAGTTAAATCCAATCACTAATTAAGTTAATCAAAATTTGCTCGAAATCATATCAATATGATTTTTAGAACATGTAAACTTCTTTGTCTGAAATTTATAATTTTTTACATGTATGTTGCACTTATACGTTTTATGTATGCATATATACGTCATAATTATAATTTTTAATATGTATGATATTACTAGTAGAATATTTTACATGCAAATTATAGATCATATGCCACCTAATTAATATTAATTCTAATGTATATCTACATACTGCTCGTGTTCGTAAAATAAGCTGTATCCAAAGACAATGCCAGGGGGGTTGCGGGTTATCGCCATGTCGTGATCCATTATTATTAATGGCATTAGCAATGGATCACGACATGACGATAACCCGCAAACCCTCTAATATCTTTGAAGTAAATTCTTGGATCGAAAAATTTTGAATATCCGTGAAAGCCTCCGTGGAAAAGTATTAACATGACGAATAAAAGTCAGAATTAATTAAACAATCATATCGATGATATGTAATAAAGTTTAAAAAATGTTCAGTTAAACACGATACAAAAAGTGATAAAATAAAATAACTTCTTTTTCAATATAATTACCCTTTATTTTAATACATCTTTTAGGCCAATAAATTAATTTTTTATATAATGATTTAATCTAAATGGTTTCACTGGTAGATTTCTTCCACATACCTAAATTAAATCTCAGTTCTGAAAAACATTTTATATTAGACTATTTTAAGAATAAAAATTCAGATCAATATTTTTTAACGATACAGAAAAATCATTTTATTTTCTAAAAGATGCGTATTGTAATAAAAAGTGATTTTATTAAAAAATAATAAAAAGAATGGTTTCATTTTACATTATTTTTATATTCTTGGATCGAAAATTTTTGAATCTTATATATACGTAAGTAGTTCGTCGCAGAAGAGAACAATTCCAATTTACCAACGTTACATGCGCGTGTCTCGGTGGGATTAAAGTGACTAAACGTATCGAAATGCATAGAAGTTGCCATTTTCGTAGCAAATAAACATCATGTTTTTGTTTCAAGAATAATACTGATGAAGTACGGGCAGTATTAGCGCAATATAACGCAAGCCTCGCATAACTTTCGATCTGTCATGACTTGTGCATCCTCAAAAAAATAATGATAAATGACCGTTCTTCAGTTTATTTCAGATACGGGATAGTTGTTTATTGTTTTCGCGTAGAGCACTGTCCGTGCAGAGGATTTTCACTTGGCAAATGTCCACTCGGGTCTTTGCGTCCCATCTTTCATCCCCGTCATGTGTCGGGGTATCCGGAAAGATCTACCTGGCACACGTATACGAAGATGTATAATCGCAGAACATGCGTATCCTGCTGAGAGAAACACACATCTCAATGCATTTTTTATTTAATCATAAGATATTAATCGGAATTAATCTTCAAATGCTCTTCTCTAATGCCCGGCGAAACTGACTCATAAGAAAGCATATCGGGTATCAAATATACCCTCTTTGATTTTAATAAATTTTGCAAATGTTGAACAATAATAAGATAAAATAAAATATGTATTCTTTTTTTTATAAATATTTTTATGCGCGTGAATATGACTCCTTTTTAAATAAAACTTTTTTCTTCAGAGTTAGTGATTTCGCTATTATAATATTGTGAGCATAAGGATTAGAAAAGAATTGATTTTTATATTTCTAATTGTAAGACATACTCACGATATTAGAAATTATTTTGAAATTTCGGAGAAAGAAATAACTAAATAATTACATTATTGTTAATTGCAATTTATTAATTCTTTGTCCGTCCAAAATCTCGGAGCAATTTCTAATATTTAGACACAAGATATAACCATATATATGTATACTTACTTATTAAAATGATAAGAGATATGCAAGAATATTTTAAACTTTTTATTTTTAACTAGACGTTTATGGGCAAAGACATTCTATGACAATGTATTCAGATTTTTTTATTCGTTGTTTTTAATTAATACATTGCGAAACGATTACATTCAAGTTGATCTTTTAATTTCCAAGAAGGATTTAACTCGCAATAATTGCGTATACTGAGAAACGCGTTTTCTGACGTATCTTTGTTTAATCATACAATATCAGATGAAATTTTTACACATCTAACGCTAATAAAACTGACTCGGATAATTATTTTCTTTTCTTTGAAACCAAGTAAAATATACTCTAAAATTAATTCTCTTTACGAAATAATTGCATATATTCTACTTTCATGATTTCGTCGTCACATTGTGTTTTTGTAAGGAGGATTTAACTCGTTGCGGTTATTTTTCGTTCCGAATCGCTTTCGCTTCTATTGTTGCGAAGCTTTTTGTCTTGATTCCAAATAGCAAGTTTGACATCCGATTCGTCCGGTGCACCATATGTACCGACGGTTTACTGTCGCTTACTCCAACCGCGGGATTTTCATTCTCTATTTTCGTACCACTGCAGTAGTAGTATAACGCTACGTTCGTGCAGGAACGGTTGTAATCGCATGAACACGAGAATCTAATAAAAACTGCTTAAAGCACTGTGCCTCAAATCCCTTATAGAAATATAATACTATAAGCCAATAATACTGGAAGACAGTAATTAATTACTTATTTGGAATACTAAAAAAAAGTAATATAAGCAATAAAAAATGCTATTAATACTTAAAATAATTAATTATTGCCTTTCATCATTAAATTGAATAGCATTTTAGATATTTCTGTAAAAGATATTAGAATGTTTTTAACAGCAATTTATTATCTTAAACATATCCACCGGGACTTTATCTCGTTTCATCTTTATCTTCCTTTTTTTTATCGATATCGTTCTTCGGTCAATTATTCATTTTCCCGGAATTAAAATTTCATTCATTCTTTCTTCCAAGTAATCTTCTCGATTAAATTTCTCATAACAGTTTCCTTTTTTCTCTTTCTCTTTTATATATACAGCAAGAATAGTTTTGCTGAAGTATTTAAAGAGTTAGCTAGATAAAGATCTGAGACTAATCTGTTGAGAATTTTGTTGGATCGTTAAAATCATCATAGGATATACTCAAGCTTGCTGGAACGTCAAAATAACTTTGCAACATCATT